CCCCAAAACCCCAAAACCCCAAAACCCCAAAACCCCAAAACCCCAAAACCCCAAAACCCCGAATGGACACTCCAAATTGAGTGAGAAATTTAATGATTTTATAAAAATTGTAAGGAAATTAGCCAATTTAATACTTAATGACTTAATTCTTCTTCACAAAAGTTGACCTTATGTACTGCTTGAATGCACCAATTTTGATCTTGTCGTTGATAAACAAGCCTATTCTCTCTGCAAGCTCTTCAAAGTTTAACCCTGGGTTTATCTTGGTGATCTTGCTCTGGTAAATTTCCCTAAATTCAGGAATTCAGTGAATCAGAATTACATGCAAAAGTGAAGCCAGGTAAATTCAGTTGTTATCAATAGGATCCTTTGGGTCAATATAGTTGAAGATATCAAAAGAGAGCTCAGAAGATGTTTTAATAAAGGTTTGCCAACATCCTTCAAAATCTGGGTTGTCCTTGATTTTCCTTTCTTCCATTTTCTCTTTATTTCCCATGTGAATATTCTTAATCGAGTCTAAAGTTCAACCAGAGTATTCAGCCATCATTGTCCTGAATAAGTTAAGGACATCTCTTCTGAAATTCTTCTGGACATTCTGAGTGACTATGAAAGAAAAGAACTGCATTAAATTATCAAATATAGCTGCTGAGTTGCCTGAAATTATCACTATTGAGTTCTTTTGGACTCAAGAAGTTACCATTTTGATGAAGTTGGCATACACAGAGAGTTTATCCTTTGCCTCATCGGATTTATTCTCTTCTGGAAACTCTATTTTAGTTAGCCGTTCGAAGAGGGTTGCTATATGCTTATCAAAGAGTTCGAAAGATTGCTCCTCTATCTCTATTATAACAAAAGTCATCAGTCTGAAGCAGTTATCTAGACAAATCTGTGTGTCTGCAACTAGCATGGCTTCCATATAGTTGTTAATCGACTCAAGCATTTCAACCCCATTAAGGGCGAGTGCTTTCTGAATGAATACTAATCACTCAAGGATCGGTGAGTTTATATATGCTTTGAATATATTCAATAAATTCTCACTCATTCCTTTAAGAAGTTCATGAGATGCAGAAGCACTTTTAGGTGTCAATGATTTTACTAGAAAATTCATTCTTCTTATGAGCTCGATATTCCCTTGTAGTACTGTTGTATTGTTCATTTTTGTCCAAATAATCTCAAAGTAGTAAGCAAGAGTCTCTTTGATTTGATCTGGGGGCATCTGAAAGTTCTGGAGCATATTCCCGATGATCTCATACACATTCTCAATATCTCTAGGATAAAGGTTGGTTTTCCCATCTTCATACATTTCAACTATTTTACGAGAGTTTGTATAGATGAGTTCAGCATAATCATGAAGTTTATCCTTCACTCTTCATATAAATCTGAGTAGGAAATAGGAAGCCTTACTGGAGAGGATCTTCCAGGGGTTAAGAATTCCCTTCTCGCTCATCATCCCTTCAATAATATGAGGGATAGCATCAGGAAATTGGATGAAATAACTACCAAATTTTACACAAACTTCGTAGAAAACCGCGTATACAACTGCTTTTTCTTTTGAAGGCTCATCATTGTTGCCCAAACATAGGAAGTCAACATTTAAGAATTTGGCACAGATTTCTTGGTGAATGGGTTTTTCAACAGAACTATCTTCCCTTGAAATTATATCATACAGTTCGCTAAGTAAGAAAAGAGGGCATTCTATCTGGTTTGGTGTCATATTGGAGAAATTCTCTTTGATCATATCTAGCCTCTCATTAATTTTTGCAAGTGCCCTTTCCTTCAGGGTTGAGACTGAAATTGTGTTTTTGAACAAATTAGCCAGATCAAATCTGAGAACTTTGAAAACCTCTTCATCTTCACTAAGATCTTTCTCTTCAAAGGAATACCATTCTGGATACTCACATTTTTGGACTCATAAATCTTGGACCTTGAATGCTATTTCAGAGAGTTGTTCTGATAGCTCAGGAAGCTTTTTAATGTACAAAATCATAGAGTTGATGAACCTAGTGACAAACTGAAGAGATTTTACATCCTCTCATTCAAGGAACATCACGTTGAGCACAAGTAATTCCATCAGAATTTGCTGGGCATCATTAAGGTAATCAGCTCCTTCCTGAGGTATTTCAACAATTTCAAGTATGAGAAAGCCCATTTTGGATATAATATCACTAATCGTTTGTCAGAGCTCAATGTCATCTGGGCCAATGGTGAGACTCTTAATTTTCCCAATGATGTCAATATCTTTGATCAGCTTTATTTTAACACCGTGATCCATCCCTTTCTTCATAAATGAGTAAAATCAATAAAGTGCATTTTGTTGATAATCCTTGTTATCAAGAAATGATGTGACTATACCAAAGGAAGGTTCAAATAGAGATAGCTCATTCCAGTCAATCAAGTCAGCAAGAGTGTCTACAGCTCCAAGAACGAGCTCTTTTGATAGTTGGTCAGCTTTTTCTAGAACAATTTGGGATAAATGCACTATTTTTGCTACATCACCAAGCCTCATTGCATCTTTAACTCTAGTTGCCATCTGGAGGTCCTCATTTGTATTGTAATTCTCCCGTTCAACTATTTCATCATTGATCTGTTGCATTAAGGAGAAGAGGAATTTTAGGAAGGTGAGACTCTCCTCTGATTCCTTGATCATTATATCAAACTGGTCAAACACATTGCTCCAGGAGTCAGGGTATCCCATCTTGATGATCATACTGCAGAGGTATGAGTATCTCTGGCAGAAGTGATGGACTGGGACTATGAGGCTATGGTTCTGCTTTAGGAATTCGAATGCTACATTTCCAAACTCTTTCTTATCCTCGGTGCTTAAACCAGGCCAGCAGTCCTTACAAATCACTGAAAGGGCCTGTAAAATCCAGAATTTGGTATGGTCTGATGTGGTTTCTCAAAAATAACCGAACAGGTCCCTCCAATTAGCATAGTGACTCCTTGGAATATCAGTAAGGTATTCATTAGCTTGCTTTTTAATTTCAGGATCTGTGTGGACCATAGGATTAGAAATTATATCAACAGCTTTCTCAATGTTACTAAAATCCATTTTTATTTATACAACTCTCAATTAAGATTTTTTTCTTGGGGTTTTGGGGTTTTGGGGTTTTGGGGTTTTGGGG